TCACTGAATTCGAACAAACTAAGAACTCTCGAACTGCTGCCCTTGCTGCAGATGCTAACTCAGCCTCAGGTCCTAGTCCTCCAACGGACGCTCCTAAATACTCGGGAGCTTTCACCAAACGGGGTTAAGACCTTTACGTGAGTTTCTTTTCAAACATCCTCATGAATCCCCTCAACTTATCCTATCTCACCTAAGTAACTACTAACTCCAATCAAACCTTGACTGTTTCTTCTCTCTTTAACGTAACCCTCAACAATTAGTAGCGCCATCAAAAGCCTTAAAGAATCGCCAAGTACCTCATTACCCTTTACTCAAACTGTTTCTTCTTACTTTTCTTTCATGCGACCAATTATCTTCAACAGATAATCACCTGTTTACAACTATTGAAACATTAAATCCAACAAATAAACTTGTTGTCCTTTGTTTCCTCTTACCTGATTTCACTGCTCGTCTCATTTCAACGTCTTATGTTATAAGGTCTTTCTATCGAAAGATCTCAAATAATCTTCTCCTTTTTTTATATAGTTTCGAACCAAAATCAAACAAAAAATACTTGTTTCTACTAAGATCAAAATGATGGTCTTACCTGTTTGTGCGCTTTATTGATTTGAAAAAATTTAACTGCCACTTATGTGTTATTCTGATCTTTCATACAACACTGTGCCCATATAACCAGTTCCCAACTAAGTGCCCCTAAGTAAACTATGAGACTCAAAAACATCTCTTTAACTTTGAAAAGAAAATTTTTTTTCTTACTAAAACGTCTAAGATCAAAACCCTCCCTAAGAAAAACTAAACAAAGAACTCTTTTTACCTTGTCTCTTGTTCATACATCTAATAAAATCAAATCAAACAGTACTTATTAGCCTAACAACTCTTTATCAAAAGGATCATGAAACAAACTTCAATCTCGAATAAAAATACAATCAAAATTCTACCCTGTCCCTTGTTCATGCATCTAATAAAATCAAATCAAACAGTACTTATTAGCCTAACAACTCATTATCAAAAGGACCATGAAACAAATTTCAATCTCGAATAACATAAAATCAAAATACATCTTATACAAATGCAGAGAAATCAAATGTACATATATGACCTTAAGAAGTTCAGAATACCACATTAAAAACTTGTTCTTAAAAACTTCTATAAGACACCAGAATACTTACTAGCAGCATATCCCAAACTCATAACCAAATATATATATATATATGTGTGGGTACCTATACATCCTTCAGAACTCAGTGATTTACATAAAAACCTTGAGAATATGTAAGTGACTTCTACAATCAAAACACTATCATAAGACCCCTTCTTGAGATAACAGCTCATTACTTCCAGTTAAATAAACCAAACTATGATCAAAAGGAACCTTCATTCCATAGGATAATCATCCTTTGTACTAAGTGCACCACATTGAGCATTGTTATCCTATTAATTTGTGGAATATAAAAAAAAAATAGAGAATGTACACATCTTTAAGAAAATTTCCAAATATAAAGAAAGGCAGGATCAACAACATTCCCAATAAAACAAATCCCACCTGCAAAAGAACTACATATCAGAACTATGTGTAAACCATAAGAACACCAAATCTATACATATCACTTACATATTTTGTCAGTCATATAAACAGACTACATACCTTATATCAATCAAACAGCCATATTGTACACACAAAACATAGATGTAATGTCCACCAAACTCCACAATATATGCCCACAAATATATGTATTAAAAATTAAAAACCCATAGTAATTGACCTATGATCTCATGCAAACTTCTAAAGAAAACTACGTAATAACATATAAACTATAAAATACGCATAATAACACCTTCAGATATATGAAATACATATGTAAGTGCCCTTTATAATGTTAATTTACATATATTAGCAGGGATGAAGGAAGCCAGAACACGTACTATATCCAAATACTCGACAACACATATCATGTGACACCCAAAGCCATACCAGGCTACGAAATAGCTATGTACACACATGCAGTGAGGAGGAATTGAACCATTTACCCTTCAATCTGGCCCTGACCCCGAGAATATGCTTATAGAAACTCTGTCAAAATCCGGATTCGAAGAGGTGACCTCATATACTCACAAATACACGACAGCACTTGTAAATCCACCCTATCTAGGGTTTACATCTGTACACTATGACAGTATCATAGATTCAAACCTAACTACCGGTACCCTTTTTCACAGTATCAGGGCTTTACAAAGCCCTGACAGCCCTATCCGCCTCTTATACATACACCGCTAAAGGGTTTTTGGGCAAATTTTCGTGAGTTCAGGGGTTTTCAGAATCCCGACCCCTGCACGATCATGGGCCCGTCTAAGTTACATATAAACATCCAATCGTCTCGTTTTCGCGAGCTCCACGGATAGTCCACAGCACAGGACGCCGTGCCATTGTCACCACGTGGAGCTGAGCGGTGTTATATCCGTAATGAAAGATCATGGCCTACAGCCGCTGACACCACGCCACTGATATGGACCCCAAACACGCGTCAGAGAGATATAAAATGGCGATAACTATCACGTATTCGAGACAGTTATCACACGCGAGCCCTTCAAAAGTATCTCCGATGCATGAGAAGCATACGGAGGTTCAAATCGAACATGTCAGAAGACATGCCCAACCCCCAGTAGGTGAAGATGTCTTCACTTTCGCGCTGAATGACCCATTGCAAAGTCTTCGTTATCATATCTGATAATTGGAAAAGTTTTCGTTATCGTCTTGTTACCACTCACAATAACTCCATACTCCATACACCATGCGGTTTGTATCCTCGGCTCAAGCCACTTCACAAGAACGTGAGGTTTTCTTCACTCGCGGTCACATCTGTACCACTTTGATTGATCATGATCGATCCATATTGTTGATTTTCGTTGCCTTAGACTTTGTGCAATGCACGTCAGGTCCACACAAGGGTCAGTGGACCTGTAAGTTGTGTACCGGACGAACCTTCAAAGACATAATCAAACATAGCAAGTTGAAAACTCATATAGACCGAGTACGAGTCGAGCTTGAAAGGGTCTCTGCCGCTCAGCCTGCCGCGGCACCTCCGGGTTTATGCTCTCGCAACGCCGTTGAAAGCTTTTCAACATTGTCAGGCTCGATGTTTCCTGAGGAGCAAGATATACCAGCGGATATGCCAGGACGCGATCACGACATGGATCATCTTGACGATGGCCTGGGCGAAAGCTCCGATGAGCTGGCCTCATTATACGATCCATCACCCCCAAACGTATTTGAGGTTCAGTCTCAAGACTCCAGAGAGTCCAGTGTGGACATAGACTCCTTTCTGGACAACTCCGACTCCAAAAGCAATTCACGGCCAACGGTTGAGCTCGATTCCGACCTGGCCGCCACAGATACGTGGCTTCCGTGGTACCCTTTACGAAAGGCAGAGGTGGGCTAGTGTTCCCAGTCCGCCCGCTTTAGGTCTGGCTAAGTGCTTACTTTGAGTCATATTGAATCTTTGCTTGAACTCCAGCACGCTGCTGCTCTATTGATGTTGGGGACCGGGCGCAACCTGATGTCTACCGCAGAATACAATCACATCCGCGCTATTTTGAAGAGAATTCTCAAAGTGGATCTGCCTGATCTGGGTCAGTACAATTTTGCTTTTACATTTTATGGCCCAATTACAATACTGAAATCTTAAAATTTCAGGCCACATCAAGAATGTACGCAGCGATCTCAAGGATCGCCTCGGCCTGCGGGTCTTAGAAAGAATCAGCCCACTTGGGAACCCTTGTTTCACTCTCTCAGTTTGTGATATCATATCACAAGTGAGCCCGTCTCTTGGCTTTTGATCCACTCATTAAGGTCTAATTTGTTTGGTCTAATGTGTAGGAACTGAGTAACCCAGAAGTCGCACCTCATCTTGAATTTTTCCCCAAAACAGACGAAGGCGTCACGGTGGACCGTTATTCCCAATCAAAGAAGTGGCGTGAAGACCTGCCTCCAAGCCTTCAAGTACCCATGGTGGATGTGGAAGGGGAACACTTTTACATTTATGAACCGACCCAGCTGGAAGACTTGCGGGTGGTTGTTCCAATTTTCTTTTATAAAGACAAGTCGGCTATACGCGCAAAGTGCTTGACGTTAGAGGTTATTCATGGTTCTCATGATTTCTGGATTCCCGCGGAGCCAAAATTTGAATCAGATAGATTCCTCGATGTGAACGTCCAAACATTTTCAACATCTTCTTTGCATATAGAATTGTGGAATGGTCAGAAATGGTTTGAATCGCCAAACCATCGATTACTGCGTGAGTCTGTTAAGTTTTTTTTAGATTGTTTGGACTTATTGAGCTAAACAAATTCTCCGCTTATAGAGCATTTGGAGGAAGGGGTCAAAGTGGTGGATCTCCCAAACCCTTGGCGATCTAAGGCAAACAACATGATCATTCGAAGTGTACCAATAGCTCTGTACTCTGATGATACTTCGGGCAATATCTCAAAGAAATGGAATAAACACATGTCATTCTACTTTTCATTGGCCGGCTTGATACCAAAATTCACGAATCAGGAGTATCACATTCACTCACTGTGCACATCAAACATTGCAAGTGCATTGGAGCAAGGAGACCAGATAGTACACCACGAAGGCCTCCGTACGGTTTTTCCTGGTCGCAAGAGGAGCTGTGTTAGCATGGATGTCTTCAAGCGAGGCTTGAAAGGTTCTTCAATACATTCCGGTATGTCTTGAGGAAGGACCATTTCCAATCGAGAAGACCCTAAGATGAAAGATGAAATCGAAGAGATAACGAAAGCGATGAGAATCACAAAACTTGAAATTGGAAACATTGGCTGACCTCCTGCGTTCAGAGGGTAAGGGGTGAGGTGAACACTTCCTCTGTCCAGGGATAAAACGGGCAAGTAACCATGCAAAATCCTTCGAGACATGATCCGAAGAATCTCTGGTATGTTGAATCATGGCTCTGCAATGTGTCAATAAGGCCACAGTTTAATAACTGTGATAAAGTGGTTGATCAACTGTATTTGATCAACCTGTGACAACCCGGGATACGGGCCTGTATCCCACGGGTATCTCTCCTGCTGTGATCGTGATTTTTAAAACCCGCTCACACCGGTTTTCTAACGAAAAGGGGGTTCGTGGTGTAGATGAATTGAAGTATGTGTGTCCTTCATTTTATATCAAAACAAAATTGTGTCCCTTTAATACTGTAAATTGATGGTTCAAAATTTGGAATAGTGAAGCAGCTTCAACTGGGTTTTGGGTTACGATTGTAGTATTCAACAAGACGTACTGGTTTTACCATTTATTCTATGCCATATGGGTGACTCACCTATGCATGCGGAGATTACAAATACCACTAACCCTTCTGGAACTTTATCACCTTGCCGGATATGCAACTTGACAGTGGAATCTAGAGCCGAAAAGCAAACAGAGACTTATGTTCAGCAATTTGTTGGAATTGATCAAGATTGGAACCCTGTGAGCGTCAGTTTATTAATGATCATTTTGAGTGTATCATCTAACTTTGTAATTTGACTCTAGGCCTCTCGACCTCTGCGCAACTGGGCACGCACACGAGAACAGAAAAAGCAGTTGTGGGAGTTGACACGAAACCCAAAAAGCATCAGGCAGTTTGATGATCTTTCAAAATTATATGGAACTCGTGACTCTTTAAATCTGCCTTTTGCCAAAGATGCTCAGCAGCTCTACCGCTCAAACAAGCACAAACCAAAAGAAGATCAAATGTCGCAGGAGGAAATCATGCATCATTGTCAAAGTTTGGAGGATAAATTCGGCAAACATATGTTCAATCCTTTTCTACGTTTGGCTGGTATGTGCACTCTGAATATCCAAGATGTGTATTCAAACATTTTAGCTTACTCATCTTGTCCAGCCTTTGATGGTCATGTAGACACCCCTGTCAAATCACTACATGTTGTTCTACTGGGAGTTACTAAGTATATGTACCGTGATGTAATCTCAAAATTATCTCCGGCTGAACTGATCACAATTACTGGCCGATGGCAATCTTTTGGAATTGAAGGGTTGAATTGCGCACCCATTCAGTCGCGTAATATGGTTCATTACGCTAACAGCCTCCTGGGAAAAGACTTCCGTGTTGTCTTGCAGGCGGCTCCTTTTGTTTTTTTTGAATTTCTTCCGGATGACTATCGACACTGTTGGATTACTTTGGTTCATTTGGCATCATACATCTTTCAAACCCGCATTTTCAACAAGCAACAATACCTTTCGGAACTCAACATTGTTGTTTCTCAATTTTTGAACCGACTGGTTGCTCTAACAGCCCAATGGACCAACAAACCCAAATTCCACATGTTGACGCACTTACCCCAATCAGTTGATTGCTTTGGACCACCCAGTCTTTTTCTCACTGACAAAATGGAGGCTCAAAACGGTTCAACGCGCCAGGCATCTGTCAAATCCAATCATCATGCACCTGGCAAAGATATTTCTAACCGGTTCAACAACGAAAGACTGGTGCGCATGCTCATTTCGGGTGGTTCTTTCTTTGACAGGAAGCTTGGAACACGGGCCAAAGCTTCTAAACTTTTCCGAGATCTCTTCAAAGAAAAAGAGATTCAACATTCTTTAGGCCTGCATCTACATTTTCCACCTACTACCAAAGGGAAAGTGAAGGTCACATGTGAGCTCATGCTATTCTTTGGATTTACTTGCCATTCACACTGACGTTTCTTTGTACTCAGACACGAAATCAAGCAACTCCAGATTCCATGACGTCGAGACACCCGAAGAACTCTGCAACCGATGGCCCAATGCGCAATGGAGACAAGGTGTTCAGGTCGTACTTGAAAACGGACAAAAAGTCACCAGTGGAACCTTTGTATTGGTAATTCCACTTATGAAAAGGATGATCAGTCCAAAACGCAATAACCATGTTGACACTAGCCCTACAAACAGATTGATTTTGAACCGACATCCTTGCCGACCATAAAGATTGGTTGAGTGACCGGCATTTGGGAACGAGATTCAAGTCCTCTACCTTTAATCCAAGTCAAGAAAATGAAGTTGTCATCCGGACTACACCCGTTTTATGGTATGAAAGAAATCAAGGAAACGCTTCAGCAAACTTGGATTAACACCAATGTATGTAATTGTGTAGTACAGACAACTATTGCCAACTGACATCTTTGAACCACAGAATATATCATGTGTCCTCAATGTTCAGCACAATTGTCACGAAGGTAAATGTGCTGTAACAAAGACCAGATCTTTCCGGATTGAACGCACTGCTGTTCAAAATAAGCGCCCTGAAGTTACTCATCAACCACTTAATTCATTTATTATCAACACTGGGGCCCACTATTCATCAGAGTATCATCGCAGTGTCACAGACCATGTGTGGTCCACAGTAACGCAGGCAGAATGGCAAGATTCTATCACAAAAGGACTTTCAGCGTGGCTCGAGAGGTGTCCACCCAAAGGACTTGGGAAGGATCCAATTGATCCACTCTTGGAAGAAGATGAAGATCAAGTGGCGGACATGGAAATCACGGTCTAGAATGTGTTTTAACCTCAACAGTTTGTTTTTACTATTCACTTCATCCTTCCATGATACTACAATAGTGCTGGACAAATGAATGGATTCCGCACTAATCACTTGAGGAATTTTTGCAAAAACAAACAGCTTTTCCTTAAAAACAACTATTCTAAGCTAACTTGGGGAGCCGGTAAGAATAAACACTGCCTCCCATACCTTGGAAAACTTTGAACAGGGCGATGTCCTGATCCACAACCTGTGCAAGGGAGCGCAATCCGTCAAATAGACGCCTGTGGATCTAAACACCTTGTGCCGCACTTAGTTGGAGAGGGAGCTCCAAGTTTTCGGGGTTTTTGCCGATTGAGAAGTGCTTCGGTCAAGCATGCCTTAGCATCATGGGAGGCATCTGGGGTTCTTCAACGCTCAGTGGCGAGACAGACATCTTGATCTGCTGATGGGCCAGCGTATCACAATTTGAACCAAGCACCAGCTCCCTTTTTGACCTTTGCCGCCCTTGGATCAAAGCCACCTTTGTCCTGATTGCGGCAAAGAATGGCCTCCATATTCCGAAGAATGCGGGTGACATGTCACCGTAAGAGGTGTGTCACCCACAAACTTCTGCGCTGTCACATGTGCAAATGACCCCCTGGCTCACGTCCATCCTTCAACCCAGGTTGGCCAAACTCGCAAGACGCTTCCACTTCAGTTCGAAATTCCCACCGTCAATTTCAACAACCACCTGCGGCCACAACGACATTGCAAGTATGGACTTTGCACATTCCGAATTCTCTATTGACAGGGAGGTTTTTTTAGTTTTTTTAGGGCCCCATTCCACAGATTGCCGCAGGCGAGCGAGGAGTGTGTCATCAACGTAAGCAAGGAATGGCTACCAACGAGTTGACCGGGAACTCGTGGATTGGTCTTCGCCATCTGAATGAATTGCAGGGCAATCTGTGACTTACAAAAGGCAAGATGAACAGCCAGGATCGAATTCCTGAGGCGCCGACAACCGAGTCGTGTCCTCCCCTCAGGAATTCTTATTGGTTTTCCTCGTGATTGCTAATCTTTTAAAATCATTCATCCCAATCTCATTCGAACCCCACTCTTGGTGGGATAATTAATCTTTGTGAGTGTTACCTTTCTTGCTTCAATGTCTTAGTCCAGAGCCAGATCCAAGAAAATGACCAATCATCCTATTGAATCCATGCCTGTTATTTTCTCTTTC